ATAAAAATCGGGCCTATTTCTTAAAAATAGGTTGTTTTTTTGTTTTTGTTATTCTTGGGGCTTCTGTGTGGCATGGTGAGTGGAGTCCCTGTAGCTCCTGGAAGCTATGCCCAGCAGTGGCCCTTACAAGCTCAAACCCTTTGTGCTGCTGCTGTTGCTGGACTTACCTCGCTTATTTTCGTTTCGAAATTATTCTACCTCGTACCTCGTCAGGTGAGCTCGCCTTAATTTGCCCAGATATATTATGTAAATATGTTATATGCAAATATTGTAAATATATCTAATATACATATATAATATATGAACCCGCAAAAGGCAAACGCACCAGCAACATCCGATCATGTCATTCGGATGAACCGACACGCACAAAGATACACTCCAGACCTTCCCTCCGTCTTTATCACATCCTAAAACCATTCCAAAACATTATCCCCCCGCTCACGAAGATGGAATGTGACCGGTCTTCAAAGACCTGTGGTATGGTGATTCACTCTAAGCTGGATATAGCTGGATGCTGCCACTTAGGCCGCGGTGAATTCGACATCTCTCACCTATTCCCTCTCAATCCCCCCGGCCTCGCGGCACCGATGCCGACTCGCGCTGGCGATGCCGATGTCTCCTCTTCGGCCTGGGCGCCGTCCCGTCTTTTGACGGACACGCCAACGGTCATGTCCATCGCGATGGGTTCGGACTTAATTTAGGATTGTTTTTTTTTTCGCGGCAGGTGCAGTACTTTGTGGACCTTGATGTGCAGATTTCGTGGCAGTCGCAGTACTTCGCGGTCCTTGAAGGGCAAATTTGTGGCAGGCGCAGTACTTTGTGGACCTTGAAGTGCAGATTAGACGCAGTACTTTGTGGACGTTGAAGTGCAAATTTTGTGGCAGGTACAGCACTTTGTGAACTCGGAAGTGCAAATAGAGAGAAAGAGAGAGAGAGAGAGAGAGAGAGAGATCGATAGACACATAGATAGATAGCTAGCTAGCTAGATAGATAGGTGGATAGGTGGATAGATGGATAGATGGATACATGGATACATGGATAGATGGATAGATGGATACATGGATAGATGGATAGATGGATAGATAGATAGATAGATAGGATAGATAGGATAGATAGGATAGATAGGAAAGATAGGATAGATAGGATAGAGTAGATAGATTAGATGGATCAGAAAGATTCGATAGATTGGATGGATTCGATAGATTCGATAAATAGATAGATAGATAGATAGATAGATCCACAGATAGATAGATAGATAGACCCACAGATAGATAGACAGATAGATGGATAGGTAAACAAATACATAGACAAATGGATAGAACGACAGTGCGGAAAAAAACTATGTTGAAAGCTGGGTGAGGTTGAAGTGGCCCTCAACATCCACCATTGTGGGGTCATTGTTCACATTAACACCACAGCTAAAGCCTTGAAAAGGTTAGCTTTGTCACAGCTAAGCAAAGGTTAGGCTTGTCATCCACCTTTGTGGCGTTGTCAACGCAAAGAAGATAGTGGGTTTGGTACTTTGTTGTCCCGTAGCAATCGTGTAAATTAAGAAAGCGGGAGGGGGCGCGGGGGAGGGCGCAACGCCTCCCCCGCAATGAAAACAAAGTATATATATATAGTCAATAACCCGGCAATGAACGCAAACCGCCCCGCCTGAATTAAAAGGTCTGCACCGTTGGACTGGCACTTTCCTCAAATTCTACCCCCGGCTTACAAGCGGTTTGCACCTTCCTCCTCTAAATTTGACCCTCAAAAGCCACAAGCCACACGCCTCAGAAGTCTGCCTTCCTTCGTTCTTTCCTTCCTTCCCTCCTTCTTTCCTTCGCATAGGCTAGAAAGCCACGAAAGCCAAACGCCACAGAATCCAGAAGCCACGAAAGCCGCGAAAGCCAAAAAGCCACAGAAACCACGAAAGTCAAAAGCCACAAAATTCAGAAGCCGGAAAGCAACGAAAGCCAAAAGCCAGACAGAATCCAGAAGCCACGAAAGCCAAGAGCCACAGAAGCCACGAAAGCCACGAAAGCCCAAAGCCACAGAAGCCACGAAAGCCAAAAGCCACGAAAGCCACGAAAACCAAAAGCCACAGAAGCCAGAAGCCACGAAACCCAAACACCACAGAAGCTAGAAGCCACGAAAAACAAAAAGCATCATTAAATGGCCCTCCCATCACCATGATGGTGATGAAGCTCTTGCAGCTGCTTTCAAATCCAGTATGTGTGTGAGAAGCAAACCACCCAAAAGCAAATCTTGCTATTGGGTGGTTTGCTAAGTGATGACCTACTGTCATTCCTTGCAAGCAAGCAATCAACATATAGACACAAACACAAATCATAATGAGTCCATGCAAGGCGATCAGTCAGGGGCACTCCCTTCATTTAAAGCCTCACAAGCTGCAAAACGAAAGCCAGCGTTACCATCGGCCTCTGTAAAACTACGCCTTACCATTCAGATGATGCAAATGATGCAAATTGCATTTCTTACATCACCAGCCGCTCAAAAATCACAAAAAATCACCTCCAACACAACCTCCAAAACCTTGCTTCCGCGCATCCCTAAGCACCACCTAATTTCAAGTTTACGTTTTTGCTTTCTCGGGCCACCCCCCCAGACCCCCTACTTACTCACTTCGTTCGCCAAAAATAACTCAGCTGGCGCCTTCTACGAAGGCTGGCTTTCATAATCAGTTCTATCATATTCTATCACTCAAAGGGGGCTGTCTACCCGGCGGCACACGGATCATTTTGGAACACGTAAAACGGATCATTGTGAAACACAGACTCAGCAAAAAGGCTCCAAAACTGTAGTCTTATAGCATTTTTCGGATCATTTTGGAACACAGACTGATTGCAACTAGCCCAAGGCGGCATACTTCGGCTCTTTTTTCCACAAAAATCACCAATCTGGCAGCAGAGCAATCAGGCTTCTTCAGGGTCTCTCTTGACTTAGGAATTCACTTCTTTAGGGTTGCTTTTGTTTTTGCTTAGGGCTTTGCTTCGTTAAGGTCTCTTTGGGTTTGACTGAGGGCTTCACTTCTTTAGGGTGTCTTTTGGTTTGGCATAGGGGTTCGCTCCTTTAGGAGTTCTTTTGGTCCGGCTTAAAGCCTTGCTGCTTTAGGATGTCTTTGGGCTTGACTTATATAGGGCTTCACTTCTTTAGGGTTTCTTTTGGTGTTGCTTCGGGCTTCGCTTCTTTAGGGCTTCTTTTGGTGTTGCTTAGGGTTTTGCTTCTCTAGTGTCTCTTTGAGTTTGACTTAGGGCTTTACTTCTTTACGGTCTCTTTTGGTTTGGCTTCGGGCTTTGCAGCGTAAGGATGTTTTGGCTCTGACTTAGGGATTCACGGCTTTGGGTCTCTGTTGGTTTTGCTTAGGGCTTCGGTCCTTTAGGGTCTGTTTTGGTCTGGCTTCGGGCTTCGCTCCTTTAGGGTGTCTTTGGGTTTGACTTAGGGCTTCACGTCTTTAGGACCTGTTTTGGCTTTGCCTCCCCAAAAACCATTCGCCAGAAACTCGCCAGAAACCACTTCCCAGAAACCACTTCCCAGAAACCACTCGCCAGAAACCACTCGCCAGAAACCACTTCCCAGAAACCACTCCCCAGAAACCAATCGCCAGAAACCACTTATCCCAGAAACCACTTCCCAGAAACCACTCGCCAGAAACCAACCGGGAACCGCGTTCCAAAACGATCCAAATCAGCGTTCCGAAACGAGCTGGATTCGCGTTCCAAAATGAGGCGCTTGCCCTACCCGGCCTACCCCTGACACCCTTGATCTACCTTTGGGTGCTAATTTTCACCTCTAAAGAGCCTCTAACATCTAGTAGATAGATCCCATATATATATATATATATATAGATCCCCGCAACTGAATCAACAGGTCCAGCTGCCTGGTGGACCACCTGGGTGGGATCTTCCCGAGCCTCGGCTCAGTGAGCGAGATCGTGGAGCCTTTTCTAGGCCCAGTGAGTGGGTTTGTCTTAGGGTCTCATAAGCTTCATCAATCTTCCCGCACAAATATCAGAACATGAATGCTTTATAGAAAAGGGTTATCACGCTATATCACACTGGTTGCCAAAACTGCACATAACATCTAAACCATAGTTAAAGGAATGTATACGATTTACACCAGAAATGGTGAAGGTTCCCAATCCCAAATTCTTGTATTTGGCCGACTCCTGCTGATGTCTTAGTGGGAAAACGTTATCAATGTGGATCATCTTGGACGCCCTCCAGACTCGTCCATGACTATTCTGCTTGCACTTCCCCCCTCCTTGGGCCCTTATTTCGCAAATCATGTCTGCTTTGCAAAACCCTTGGCCGGAACCAACAATGGCCGCAAGGCAAATTGTTCTGATTGTTTTGCTTGGATGGATAGGTTCTGGGGTCTATCCAAAGGTTCCCGGCTTTAGGCTATAACCAGGCTATCATGCTTATGATGCTCTGTATAATTACAGATCACTCACCATGGTAATGGTCTTGAATGAGGTCTTCTCGACCAAGCTGTCACATGCGGTCTGATGTCCCTCGACTCGCTCCTCGGCGTCGAACCATGCTGGAAATCAACGCCCCACCATGGGATGAGATGGTGATGCACACAGATTTTGTCAGACCAGGTTCGTTCCAGATGAGTCCTAAACATGGCACCCGAAACCTAACCGCTGACTGCTAAGTGTAGGAATCCTGATCAAACATGATCAAACAAGACCCTGAGGCAACATTGAAAACTTATATACCATCATCATTTGAGAAATTCCCCAAGGCCTGCAGGCCTTCTACCTTTCATTATCTTTCACTGCTAGGGGTCACCCTGAGGTCACCCTGTCGACCTGTCTCCAACACCGAGAGGCTTTGCAAGAAGATCCAACTCAACCATCATCGTCGCCACATCCGTGGTGATCGTCTGCGGTCACGTCGATCCGCAGTGGCGCCGGTGGCACCGGTCGATCCGGATGACCCAGGTGGCGGTCGACCAGTTGTGATCGCTGGTCGTCTGGCACCCTTGGAATCGGCTGAATGCTCAAACTCATCGAGTTTGCCAATATGATGCCCATAGGTCTATCGCGATTGCAACACCAAAGACATTTTGCAGGGTCTTTGACTTGGCCATGTGGTTCAATCTATAATAATATGTATATATATATTGTTATATTTATATAACCTGTTGGGTGTGTATGAAGTTCCAGCATTTCCCTAAGTGGATATAGCCATGAACGAATGTCACTGGGCCAGTGGACGTTGTAACTTTACATCGCTCTCGTTGAGAACTCTACAGTGACTTCGGGCACATCCCTAGTGAAGGCACATTCCATGTCCAGCAATAGATGGTTCCTACAGCTGAGCGTGATGCAAACTTCTGTGGCTTGGCTTTAGATTTCATTGACTCGCCCTCTCCAAGCACCAAATGCACCAGCCGGGGTTCAACATCTTGGCTAATCTCTGGAGTCCCTGGTATGCTTCATGAATAGCAGTCCCACTGAACAACTTGATAGTATCTGGTCTCAGGCCCACTGAACCGAAAGCAGTCAGAAGCAGTTGTTCAGCTGGCTTCAGTCAAGGCTAGTATCTTGGCAGCAGTTGAATTTCATGAACTTCTATCACCAAAAGATTGCCAGACTAAAAGTCTTTCAACACAAACGTATCACAAGAACTATCCCCTTCCAAGAACTAGCATATTTAGTATTAACTTTCAACACTTTGTGCCTTTGAAAAAACCTTTTCTTCGGACCGTGGACCGCCGCTTCGCCTTTTGGAGCAAGGCCGGCAGCGCGCCGGGCCTGGCGTGCGGAGGCGAGCGAGGTCGGTTCTCGGTGGTCTTTGGAGCCCCAAAAATACAAACAGGTGTAACAGAAGAGACTCAATACACGACTCAATCGTTAAACACATTAACAAAAATGCGATTTGGCTTCCCACCGACTGCATGAATGACTAAACAAATCTTCAGCTATGTTCCCATTGTTTTCCTGAAGGTTGGAATGCCGGAAGACTCTAAAGTCCTCTGCTCTATTTGTGAACGGGAGCGCCCAACAAGTTGCCTGTAAAGTCGTGTGCCGGAGGAAGCTTCCCCTGCCCAGCAGTTGTCCTCGCAAAGCACATTCACAGGAAGAGAACTCTGGGAGTGTAGGTTCAATTGGGCTGGCTGGCCACTACAGTGAAATGATAGCAGCAGCCAAATGCTTGCTTTTTCAGGGAAACAAATGATACCCAACAAGTCAGAAAATAGGAAACAACCGGAAGAACACATGAGAAACTATGATGTCAAGATTGCTATATTTGAGGCACTATTCTATCCTACATGTAGTACAAAGCTTGAAGAATGGACTGCTGGATTCAGCTCTAATTACAGTAGGTGAACTGACCTCAAAGAATCCTATCTATGACATTAAACGTGGATTTTCCCTGGCGACAAGGATCTGGAAGAGTATATAGATAGTGGACCCGAACTGGTGACCAAAAGATCACTGATTGTGAATGAGTCTTGGGGAATGGGTGGGATCTGCTGATTGTCAAATCATGCCAAATCTAAGCAATTTGGTGAGACCATCGTCAACCATCCAAGCTTTCCTTGACCAAGCACTCAACTACAGGATGGTGGTCTTGAATTCTCTCGCACTAAACCGGGAACTAGCACAACACCGTCACATATGAGACATGGTCATTGGTCTTGAGGATGGTGCTGTAGGTTGTTTTCATCACATGGTCTCTATCCAGCTCTGTTCCAATATTCTAAGGGATTGTCAAAGTCAGAATCAATAGTCCTTTCAAAGCACGTGGGAAGGTTAGTGATTCGCCACAAGTAACCAACGATAAAGGTTTGGCAAGTGTACCCATGTCCATGTCTTCTCATCCCATGTCCATGGCAAATGATCCGTCCATGGGATCTTTGTTCGTCTCCTGTTGCACCCCCCCCGCGGTCACTTCTCGCCTCCGGATCGCCAGTCTCGAAGCTTGCACGGCCTCAGAGCAGTGTGGTTTTCCTTCTGACTCAAACGTCGCTCGGCATGACTCAAACATGGATGTGACGTGTGGGTCGAACCTCATTTGCTGTACCCACATCCACCTCCCAAAGCAAAAGACGATACAAAACGTATCTATGAGGTAGATCTTCGTCAAATTTAAATGCACTTCAATGAACCATATGTCCTTTTGCATGGAGTTTTGACCCTCCGACGGCCATCAATGTCAGGCATCATCTTCACAACCATTTCTTCCAGACCAGCTGTGTCCAATCCAGAGTCCGGCATCCCAATTCTATACGGATATGCTTATTCTACAATGGACTTCATCAACTCAATTACAACACCTTTTATATGGTTTTGTTATGTTTTGTTCAGAAGTCAACAGATGTTGCACCTGCTTCGAGCTTCTGTTTCGGGGCACCCAGCGATACTGCAGCTTGTAGAAACCTCATTGCAATTCAGGTGCCAAATGGACCTCTAGGGAGTTGTATTCGCTTGCAGTTGAACTGGATGGACAAGACATGACAAGACTCATCATACCAGGCTGTCGGCGATAGCGAAGTTGTCGGGCAGGCCATTGCCAAAGGCCATCCCGGCCTGGTGGCATCACACCACACCGCTGTGAAGGGCATGCCTTTAGTTTCTCCTGTACATGACCACGATTCCCACTAACTGTCTGGTTCGTTGACCCGAAAACTCGGGTTTCAACCCTAAACTCGAGAGGTTTGGCACCTCTACTCTCTTCCATCTCCAATCATCTCCCCGGCTCACCACTCTATTTCTCCATGGCACACCCCCATGAACGACGAGCACAGGATGCCTTGGATCGGCAGCCCAGCCGCCAGCAGCCAAGGGCGCGTCATGGCCTTCTGGAGTGCCTCGTCATCAACCGAAGGAGGAATCTTGGGCAAACACCAAAAAGGGCTTGTTGGGTGTTTGATGTGCTTGATAAACCCGTTTTAATTAAGCCCCTGTCAAACCCAAGGGTTTAGCCCTCTCGTCAATAAAGCCCACACTGAATCTAAATAAATTGCCAAAATGTGCCAAAGCTTTTCATGAACCCTGCCCGGCCTCAAAGCAGATCTTAGTCTCCCTGGCCTCAAATCCAACCAGCTGAGGCTCCAGCCAACATGGCCTTGGGTTCAAGGAGAGCTTCGTCCCAGGTGAAGGGGCTCACGAAGAAGATCTGCACAAAGGCCATACGAGCGCTGATTTCAAAAACACATAACATAACCATAATCTCTTGAAAGTTATCTAAGCAAATGTGTCCCCAACTGGCTCATCATGTTTTCCATTGCTCACTAGCCTCATCGTGACTGTAATGCGCTGCTTACTCAGAGTGACTGTAATACGCTGCTTAATTAAGCTGTTCTGTCATATCGTTCCAAGAGGTCGCAAAACATAGACTAGGAAGGAACGAAGGTCCCCCATATGCACTGTACGGCGAACAAACTAGTTACTAGACTAAGGAGGTCGAGCTACCAAGCTTTAAACACTTAGGGATCTAGGGATGGACCCACAGCAAAATATTGCACATCATGTACAAAATAATGTAATATTATGTTGTATAACATATACATGACGTGACTTATATCTATATATATATATACATTAAAGATATGGTCTCTCTCGATCGTGCCCCCCAAAAAGCCCTTGATCCCGGGCCCAAAGGTCAGGCAGCCGTTGCGCGGAGCGGCGGAGGGCTTCGGCCTGGGGGTCGTGACGAGGGTCGTTCGGCGAGGATCGGAACGGGGCCGTCAGAACTGGATGGTATATCATCAACTAAGCTGGCTGGTCCAGGCTGAACATGGACAGTTGCAGGCTTAATAAGGCTGAAGTCACTTCCTGTGATTTTAAGATAGCAAAGCGCAATCAACTGGCCGAGGTGACTTGGAAAGGCCACAAGTATGTTGCGCTTATAGTATCTCCTTTTGTGCTCAAAGAAGTGCGGATCCAAGAGGGAACGTGGCAACTGTCAAGCGGCACAGCGGTCTACGGGCTCGTGAATGATCTTGGCGGCATACCTGAGCCATCTCTTGCTGATGACGGCTTCATTAGTCTCTACCTCTCCCTAGTGAGGACTTCAGGAGTCAATAGCAGCTACATGACAACACGACCCTGGGACGCTCAGGAAACCTCATCAGCTGCAACACACAACAACTGGTCAAATGCATCCCCACTTCGACCCGGCATATGAGGGGGGAAGCATCAGGGAAACGCTGGGAAGTCTGAACATGGGCAAGTTAGGGCCGGGCTGAAATGTGCGTTTGGGCATTGACTCATGTGGCTTTGTATGACACACTACATGTTCCATGGCCCACTAGTAAGCTCTCACAAGACCACAAACCTCTTACGAGTCCGCTTTATCAATGGACTACCGAGATACGGCACCGGAGTCCTTCGCTATTTTTGGGCTAACTCAAGATGAGGAGACCCGAAGGCACCCTGTTTGCTTCGTATGGGCAAAAATGTTCCCAGTGCTTCGGGGATTCCCTTGTTTTGCAATACATCCACACAGGGGGGTTGCACTCAGGGAACCCACCCACACAGAACATTACGCAATTGACGTGACCTCTCCACATTCCTCCAGAAGATTCAGCCAAGCTGGACAAACATCGAACATACTTAATTAACATTCAAATCGATGTGCAGGTTCTTGAAGTTCTAAGACAAGCAAAGTCTGTCTTAATGTTATTCTATACTTCAGCGTAGTCGGCTACACATGCTCAGGCTTTTTGTTTTCCTACCATCACTTGGCTTCGTCCCATGCCATTCGGCACTGGGATTGGTCAGGCCCTAGATCGTGAAACATCCGGCGGAGCGGCGGTCAGCTCCTGCGGCAAGCAACGGAAGGCTGTGGAGAAGGCAGCGATGGTCAACCGATGACGCAAACAGAATATCCAATGAGCCCATATATGGATATTTATATATATGTATATTTATTTCTTTTTTGGGGGGGGTGTTGCCCCATACCATGAACGAAGACAAGAACGCATCACCAGCACACCGACATGCTGGCCCTCCGAACTCTTACAAACAGCATCAAACAGCTGCCTGATCAAAAAAGCCCTGAGCAAAATTAGTAAAGTAGTGAAGACTCACACAAAGCTGCACTATATAACCATCAAAATCAAACTCCTGGAAAGTGCTTGGCAAAACACAAGAATGTGAAACCAACCAAGAAGAACAACCATGGACCAGCTAACCCAAACACCTCTTCTTACCCGAACACCTCTCGGGTGCGTGTTATATCATCTTTAAGACTCGAAGTTGGTCTTTAGGAGTCGAAGCCGAAGTAGAATCGCTCGTTGTGCGTTCCAAACACCGTTCTTAGTGGATCGGACCGGAGTGGGACCGGAGTGGGACGATGAGTTTGAGCACTTTGGTGTGGGAAAGCTGCGTTCTTCCCTTGAGAATCATAAGGTGCAACAACTGGCAATGAATGTGCAGTTCCTACGAATGGACAGGATAGCAAACTGCTGCGAATTCAGATTCCAAGCCCATTCAGATTGCGACGATCTGTGCGCCTTAGCCGGTGAGCACTTTGCTGAGTGGTTGCATGGCTTCAGCCACGGTGACCTGTAAGTATCCTCAGTAAGCTTGGCATCGCGTGGGGTCTGGCAGGCCATGGCAGCGGGGCGTGGCAATCAGCAAGCTCTTATTTCCAATGTGGTTGAGGATGAAGGGGGGGAGTTCCCCTGCCTTTACGCTGGCCCGAGCATCACGGCACATGACATGACAGGGATTGGTTGTGAAAGATCAGCCAACGTGGGGGGGTTGGGAATTGATCCACCACGCTCCACGAGAACCTATCAGAACAAAGCTGGCTGGTACAATAAGACCCCCTTGAAATCGATCTCAAAACAAAGATTCTTCACTCAGCATCACTCAGCTCAACCAAACGCCCTTGAGGTTACTTTCATTCAGGAAGCCTCAAACAACAATCTGTCCTTCACCCCGCTGATCCTCGACCCTTCGGCTCCAAGCATCTAGCTAAGTTCACGAACTCGTCCACCCCCATTCGTCCTCTGCCTTCCACCAGGGTATCCTTGGAAGCGGAGGGTAGCGCACTGGGCCCAAAATTGCTCAAATACACAGCTTCCATGCGCTTCGCTGTTCTGGCACATGTGGCTCTTCAGGCCTTTTGGAGATCTTGAGCACAGTTCTCCGACAAACAGGAGTTGCATGTGCCAGAACAATTGGGCAAAGTCATTTCACTCTCGAAATGAAAGGAGGGAGTTTGGCCTCTGGCTCATTGACATTTGTCGGACCCCACACCGGACCCTGTACGTCCATTTCACATCATCCCACTTCGGTTCCAACATGAGCACACAAAAAAGCTAAACTGCCTAAGGCTGGGAATCAAGCACAGCAATCTGAGCAGCTGTCTCCTCCTTCCAAGTGGCATGCGCATCGAAGGCTAAGCGGACCTCCTCCTGTGTGGGTGAAGGGGCTTTCGTAAGGTCGGCCGCACAGCGCAAGGATTGGCAGATCAGCAGCTTCGCTTCATCGAAGCTTACCTGCATGGAGTTCGGGAGCTAAGTTGGCGACCCTTCGAGATGGTTTCGCACCCAAGAAAGATATGGGGGATCTTCAGACCCAAATGCTCAACTATTGCAAGGACCTTTGTCACTCAATGACGAACATGAACGAGTCGGCAAACGGCGAAGAAAAGGCTCGGGGGTTGAGGCAGTGTTCGACCGCAAAGGACTTGCTGAATGGGAGATTCCCATCAGTGGCCGAGGAGCTCTACCGTCTTTGTCCTGATCGACCTGCACAAACATCTTTGTCCTCACCGCACAAATGGGGTCAAGCTTGTTTATTCTGCTGGCTTGTTTACCTTTAAAAACTCCCGGACTTCATCGAGTGCTTCCCCAAACACGTGCTCGCTCTCAGTCTCAGCAAGACATCTCCATTAAGGAATGCGGTTCTGATGTCCCCAACAACAGCCTCCCATTTGCTAAGAATGGCAAGACTCAGGAGTAAGTCAAGGTGGCCACCAATGAGCTCAGAAAATCATCAGCAAAACATACTGGCCGGCCAATGGCCAACTGAATGAGATATTCCAAATGCCATCACACCGACCAAAGGATCCAAACGACACTCACGAAAGGTTCCTAAAGAACTCTGCATCAAGCTTAGGCACTCTGGTCACTTCTTAATAGAAGTAGAAGTTCCAGAGAAATGGCCTGACTCCAACACGGAAAACTCGACTTGTGGACCCGGTCCTGACATGATCGATGTATTCCTGAGACTTCAACCTGTTCTCCACTTCATCCCAATAGTTCTTGACACGCTCTTCTGGCCAGGTCCTACAGCGAAAAAATAGTGCGTTCTCTTTTCACGTTCGTGTTTTGAACGAAAACAAATGGACATCATCCTCAAAATGATGTAGATAAGCCAAGTCAAGTGCAGTGGTCCTGTTGAGTATCAGTCAATCCATGTCAATCCCATACTGAATCGTGACATGTGAATCAAAAGCAAATCACTTTCCCCCGGAGTTTTGTGAGGGCCCGCTGGTTTCGTGGCGGGTCTGCTACACAAATAAATCCAAAGGTCCTGGAAGCCTTCAACCGAGCTTTCTTGATGGCGTCCTAGGCTGCAAGGAGTCGGACAACCCCCACAGAGGCAGCGCTGACACCGGAACATGATGATTTGATTTGACCGTAATAAGACACAAGGAAGGTTCGGACAATCATTTCCCAAACAACTTTTCAGCTTCCATGTTCATCTTCATGGGCATATCCTCATCAAAAAGAAGCAAGGCCTGAAAGCTCTTTGGAAACACTGTGGAAGGAGTCTACCGTTGACTCGTGGAGCCAGATGTGCCAGACTGAAGCACCACCAAAACAACATCTTGAAACCTAATGGGAATGGCCTCCGACCTGGAAGCGATGGCCTCCAACCTACTAGAAACTATTCCGCTAAGCTATTCTCACCCTCTGAGGTTCTCTCTGAGGTCCATGAACGCTGTCGGTAAAGGATTAGACTCGGCTTCTAGTTACAATCAGATAGTACTTGTACATGTGTGTATATATAATATAATATAATATAATATAATATAATGTAATATAATATAATATAATATAATATAATATATATATATAACATGGAAAGAATACAACCACACTGGAGGACTATTTAGCATCGATGAACCCTTCTTAGATCTTTTAAGTGACTGATTGGAGGGATCTATTTTGACACAAACACTTGGCCAAAAAAGGGCAGGTGACACGCAATTGAGCTCATTCCGCGTGACATCTGCGAAGCAAACGCCGAGATTGTGAGAGCCAGTCAAGGTGGCAGAATGGTAAGGTGGTCTTGCTTCAAGAATACATTGCATTTGCATATGCCCTCAGTTTTCTCCCCTCTTCCCCCAAGATCCACCAGTGATACGGGCAAGAAACTTCCCACAAACCACGCGCACGGGCATCTTCATCCTCAGACCAAAGGTACGTGATGAATTCCTGGCCACGATCGGCGAATGGTGTCTGACAGTACCGTCGTAGAGTTGTGGAGTGGAGGGACATAGGGAGCATCTGAACAGCTATTGCTCCAAGTTGATTCTTCTGTAACAAACCCATGAGGTTTATATAAAAAGCTTGTGCTCCTGCGATAAGTTGCTTCAGCACATGCCACTATGATGAAACCTAGTTTTTCCATGTTGAAAGTGGAGAACGACTGACCTTCATACGACAAACTCATCGTCCATCTTTGGAACACCAGCTTTTCTAAGACAAAGCACTACCGGGCCATTGGAAGTTGACTTAATGTGAAGGTACCGTGAGAGAGCTGGTTATTGGCACGAAGTGGCATGAGCCAATCATACCGAAGTAAGAAGCTACTAGGGGCTCCTGGCCATACTACTAGGAGCAAGGACGCTATTGGGGGCTCCTGGCATCGTTACTAGGAGCATTCTACTAGTAACAAGAAGCTATTTGCTTATTGTTTCTAATAGCTTCTTGTTACTACTAGTAAGGCACCTGTTACTACTAGCGTGGCACTTGTTTCTACTAGTAACCAGAAGTGTCCATCCTTCGATCTTTGGCACCCGAAGAGTCGAATCCAGGAGAGTCCATCTGCGAGAGTCCCTACGAAAAGCGGTGGAAGAAACGGCCACATCCAGTGGTCGCTCGAGTTTCATGGCCAAAGGTGAACCAACATGACACCCTCACATCTGCATACATCTGCATATTCAGAAGACTTTTAGGAATTACAATTCTAATTAAATTCTTATTGTTAGTAGTAAGGCACTTGTTACATCTTGTTACTAGAAGCGATGCACTTGTTCCTAGTAGCGAACATGGTTTCTAATTGAAATTGATGGCACTTGAAGATCCTGGTCCTGAAGCATCCGAAACGTCCCCTGCAAAGCCACCCCATCCGCAACACGCCTGGTACTTCACCAGCCCGGGCGCATCGGCGCCGGCCGCCACAAAGAGCACCTCCAAGTCCTTGGGAAAAACATAAGATCTTCCAACCCAATAGCAATGGCCTCCAACCCTAAGAGCGATGGCCTCCAGCCTCTTTCGATTATCTTTGGATGGATTTGGAGATCTTCAACTCAGAAGCGCTGAGCAAACACCGATTCGTCATCCTCAATTAACCTCAAGACGAAGCTCGGTGCGATCACCCCATGCGACAAAAAGACCCAAGGATCAGAGATTGTGAAGAACCCGAACCCTGAGTACTTGAATCGGATTTTAACTGGATGCCCCTGCAAGGAGCAAGCCTGGGCCTAACGCTGGGACAAATCACGTACATGTTTTTATTACATCGTGAAGAGTCTGAAGAGTCTGAGGCATGTGGACAATACACCTCCACGTTATAAGTTATAACAATGAAACCGTGTTCCGAGAACTGCTCCTGTCCTATGGAACAGTTCCAGAAGAGCTTTTTTCAAATAGCACTGACCCCATGAAGCTAAACATTACACAAATTCAAGCGATTGATGCTGCAAACGTAAACACAGGCAGCGAGAATGAATCCAAAGGCGGTATTAAATTGTATTAAGATATGTATTAATATTTGTATAAATTGTTTGTCTCACACTCCTTCTGTGAACCACGTTGGGTGTCCACACCATACACTGTCCCAACTGGGTCCTTGCTTGTTCAAGAGAAAGACAGAAACACTAGAAACGCACCTACTTCTTGGTCAAAGTTTTTGAAGGGATTTCCCAATCATAGTTTTGTCTCCTTGCGCCGGTCATCATGCCCTGCTTATCTTCCCATGTGCCAAGGTTCATCTTCAGAAACTTGTGGAGCCAGTTTCCGAAGGAGATGAATCAAGCCCCTCTTGGTGATCGTGCCATCCCCCTGTGTGTCCCAGCTCTTGAAAGCTTCCCGCACACGATCAGACAAAAGGGCCATGGCGGACAAGACACGCGGGCGAGGTCAGGCAGCTTTGATTTAAACAATGTGGGCTGCCCTGCAAGTCTCAGAATGAGGTTGGGATCGGATGGTTGATGATGGTTATGGTCTATCATTTACTGTAGTTGACTTGGATTCCAGGGGCATTGACTCTTGACACTCCCATCAACAAATTCATGTTCCCTCTGTTCGATTTTCACGCAGATCCAAATCTTTTTTAAAGATTATCAACAAACTGCCCAATCTGACCAAATTGCCATGTCTGAAAGAAATCCCCAGCTTCAAATTGATTTGTTCCGTCACTTGGAGTGCTCCCACCCTTCGATCCCACGGATCCCGCGGGCTCCGTCTGATCCTCGAGTTGGTCTGTACGAGCGACACAGAGTATGGACTGGTCTTGGTGTAGTAAACCAAACCAATTGGAAAATAAATTCCGGAATGTCTCCACATATGGTTTTAATATGTTCAAGGATAGGTGAAAGGTCACACACAACTCAAACACTTCCACTTCCGCCCATTGGACCAGCAAAGTCTGTCCGCCCGAGTAGCCGTGGATGAAACTTTAGGTCAAGTGGGCCGCAGTAGAGCACCAGCACCTGCGCCGCTCCGTGGTTCTAAAGGCATTGTCCGGCTAGGTGGGCAACGAAAACAATCAAGGAAATTTGATCACAGGAAACCCTTCCTCCGGTTGTGGACCTGGCTGGCGGCCAGCAATGAAAATGAATTGTCAGGACCTAAAATGTAATTGTGCAACTCCAGCCTGTTGGCAGCGAAAAAAACGTTCTGATTCTGCTTTGCTCAACACCAACTTTATCTTACTCTATAAGGAAAGGCTTCACATTGTTAGATGATGCTGGATGCTTGAGGAGTGTCTCCGGAAACCACTGCATTCCCAAAACGCGGGACTCCAAATGCGGAACCCGCCTGCCTTCTCTAGACCAGGTGTGTCCTCCACATCGATCCGTGGAAAGTCCTCCGCGTCTTCGAGGGGAAATGTGACTTCTGTGGCAAGGGTGACAAAAATGCTAAGTTATAAATAATAGGTGTGCAAGCGACGGGCGATAAAGATTAGTTTTGCATGATGGAATTGCATGAAGATGCTGTGTATGAAGGGACCTTCAGGTACCATTTCGCAATTATAAGAAAACACACATTATTAATACATTCACCTGCAAGAAAAAACATAATTAGCACAATTCAGTTTAATACTCAGAAGGCCCCGGAGAATGTTAACCTCCCAGTAATAAACCATGAAACAATAATAAGTGTTCTTTTGTTTGCCAGGATTTTGCAATACTTCCTTTAATTTCGCCAACATCCAGACCCCAAAATGGGTAAAAATAATCAGGTTTCAATTGTAAGCCTGAGAAATTAGCGATCAATTTGTTGGCCTGCCAGAATGTTACAATACTACTTATAATTGCGCCAACAGAATGCTCTCAGATGTTTGTATTTTTTGTTTATCCTTCTTCTTCGTTCTTTTTTGTTATCTTTCTCCTTTCTTCGTTCTTCTTCTTCCTGTTTTTTTTCTTCTTTTGTGTGTTCTTTTTATCGTCGACCACCAGATTTCCAAAACTTTGGCTAGCCAAAAGCTTGAGCTTCCCTCATTCAAGCCCTATCAAACAAATACAAATAGTTATGTTCAAAGGGTACCCCTTTAGAGTCACACCCCGTGCAATTTTGCGAAGTTTAAACTAACCTACAACAATCAACCCCACTCCAGCCCGGCTGGCTTATCCTTGCCTTGCGCTTTCCCTTTTACTTTTAAGTTCTCCTATCTTCTTCTTTTTTCTTTTTCTTCTTTTGTGAAACCTTTGTTTTAATCTGCGCCCATCAGATTTCCAGAAACTACCACTACCACTACCACTACTACTACTACCACCACTACTACTACTACTCCTACTACTACTATCCCCTCAGCCAAATCCCCTCTGGATGTTTTCTATTAAGGCTCAGGATTTTGACTATATACCCTGAAAATGTTTATTTATTGCATGGGGAGGTTTACTAATGAGATGTTAACATGAATGAGGAAGTATATTTACTTTCTTCATTTGACTCTGACTCATGCCAGATTCCAGATGCTCACGTGTGTTAAAAAATGGCATCGGCGCGCGCAGTACTCACCTCGGCGTCGTCCAAGTTTGGACCGCGCGATGATATTCACAAGCGCAAGATGCGCCACACGCTGAGCTGGCGCACGAAGAGGCTCCAGTGGTACGGCCCTGGTCCGCCTACGTCTGGATCAAGGCCCGGATACCAGGCGCGGCGCCCGCGCTCCTGGGCAAGCTAAACGAACAAAAACGGCGGCGTTGGATTCTACCTGGCACGTTAGCCCCTGGTTTGCGCAGCTCTCGCATAAAGATAGTCTCTCTCTCTCTCTCTCCCTCCCTCCCCCTTTCATACTGTGCAAACTCTCTCTCACCCTCTCTCTCTTCCCTATCTCCCCTTCTTTCTCTTCCCTGCGTGGCAAGTAACAGTAGCGTCTCCAAGGCTGCGCAAATGATGCGGGACTTGGCCCCGGAGACAGCTTGGAAACTCCAACAAAATGCTGCGCGCGACAGGGAGTTGACATTTTGCACGCAACCTGTCCTACCAAGCTGAACCTGGAGTAAGCCGCTTGTCATCCAATCTTGCTAGCTCATGACAAGCTCCAATTTTGCAGCGCCACGTCCTCAACACACTCCGTCCAGTGGCAAGCTCGTGACATCCTACGCAAAAAGTGAATGAAGGCTTCTCAGCAAGACCCAATCTGTCCTAGCCATGACAACTTACTTATTATGCACGCTTTCCAGCGCGCAAACAGAGCTTTTTCTATACGAGCGCCGGGCCGGAGCAAGCCCACATCCCTACACACCGCTCAGTAGTGGTAAGAGCCGTGGACGGCATTCTTAATGACCTAGCCCTCTCCACTTCAACGTTGCTGCGCCCATACTCACGCAGACCCCCGCAAGGCCCAGGTTTTCATCACGCGAACGGCGCCGGTGTGTTGGTCTATCGCCTGGGTAGCCAGGTTTGATATTAATGTATTTATGTGTGTTCTAAGCGAGTATTCACGTCTTTTTTTGAAGCGCATGGGCCCATATATGCCATAGGCCTTGTAGGTGCGGAGCACCAGATCTGCTGGGAGGTTAAGAATTTACCTTGGCCGTGCGTAACGCCAGTGAACGGAGGTCTTACTTGTTGGGTAACGAAATGCGTATGGAAAGAGTTAAGATCTTCATACGTCAGCTGGAACATTGACCAGCCAACTTGCGCAGACGCAATGAGCCGATGAATCAACCCAGGGCCACCACAAACAAGCCAGGTTGGCCCTTAGTAAATACACGCATGGCCCACCGCGCCGGCTGGGCAGCTGAGATGCGCAGACTTCGGCGCAATGCCTTTTTTAATGATACGGCGACCACCGAGATCTACACTCGTGGATTCGCAAGCCAATGACGTACAGTTTCACATTTCTGTTGCGACCAAGACCGAAAACTTCAAGACTCTTGAGCTCAAGCAGGCCCACCACCAAACAAGCCAGCCCCACCAATAGTAAACATGCCAGGCTGCCAGGCTCACGTGCAAAAACATGCGCAGACCAAGCAATGACTTGACTTCCGCCCACAACTCTGACCACAACACATGCCCCTTTGCAGGCTTTCATGAAGCAAGAATATACTAGGTAGTAATTATCAACGATCTCAGAAAGTTTCAGGCTTTCAGGCGTGAATTGGGCCAGGCGCATCCATGGTAAACATGCCGGGTCCACACGGAAACATGCGCAGACAAAGCAATGATTTGACTTTTGATCGAGAATGTCACTCAGCCTTCCTCAAGACGCCCATAAAGCTTTTAAGGATTGCCTCATGGTGGAAGCGGGCCTTTGGCTTGCAAACCAGCGCCTTCTGAAGACAGGGGAAGCTTTCTTGTGAAGACTGCAAGCGATGAGGCGCTCCCTTACATTTACATCTTTTCAACATGCCCAAGAGCTCAGCATGTTGCTCTTGCAAGCTCACGAATTGATAGTAACAAACGTTGTCAAGTCTTGAGAGTTTGCACTCGGGTATACCTTGATCCCAAGAACGCCAATCAGCCCACAGAATTGGTTAGTTTACAATTTTAGTGGTGGACAGTCTTGAGCCACACCAATATGTTCAGGGCAAAAGCAATCATTCTTAACAAATACAGGACTACCAAAAGAAGTCTCTGCCGCAAAGGACACACGCGTGCTCCCTGATAGCCGTCCCTCCCACTCAGGCAGATAGGTGTTTTGAGATGCTCTGGGCATACATCCAAGAATTTCCGCCCTCGCTCCCTTAAGGATGGATTGGCAGTTGTCGTCCATCTGAAGAATCAAATTGGTCATTGCAGGTTGTGGTCGTCGTCGTCGTCGCCGTCGTCGCCGTTGCCGCGGTTGTTGTTGTTGTTGTTGTTGTTGCTGGTGTTGTTGTTGTTGTTGTTGTTGTTGTTGTTGTTGTTGTTTCGGATAGAGGCCTGTTTGCAGCTTATATAACCGCTTATGCGCTGGGTTGATGCTTAGAGGCTGGCTTGTCATGCTTTGGTGCACTCTTTGGCGCTTAATCAAGCGCTTATATATGCGCTTTGGGGGGTGGTTACAGGCTTTTATATAGGCTTGTGTGGCGCTAGAGGTTTGTAGGCTGCCTGTAGTTTTATCACAGCCCCTACTTAGCCGAACGCCCCGATGAGCACCACCGATCAAACAACCGGCCTTAACTGCTACCATAAGAATTAACCCCTTGTCTGACCACACTGTTTGGGGAAAAACACAACAATTGATTGATAGACGATCCAAGCAGCGAAGAATAGATTTATCATGACTTATATACGTATCCCTTGTGGACAAACCACTTAGGGACTTAGCGGCCGACCGTCCATGGTTTTCCCCCCCTTCGGCGGGTCCGAGTCGACCCATCTCCTTCGTCTCCTGCGCCCAGAAGACTCGATGGTTCCAAAGCTCCACGGACGTCGAGAAGCTGGTGGTCGGACCTGGCAGCAGCTCGATGCCTCAGAAGTGAAGCTGAACAAAAGGTGGCAGGGGGGATGCTTGTGGCTTGCAAATGTTTTGAAGGAAGAGGTCCAACATCACTGCACAAATACGTTACACATGCTTTTGGGACCTCAATGTGGTCCTTCGGCTGTGAAACCTCTGGCAACTGAGGGTAAGCATGGTGGGGGTGGTCAGTGGTAGTGGCAAAGGATGGTGGTGTAAAACCCCTTCAAAAAGACAGACGTCCACATTCATGATCAAATGACGGGTGTTCACTCGTTCACTCTCACGAAACCGTCTGAGTTTGTGAAAGGCTGGCCCTAATTCTCTCGTCTAAGTTAAAAGTGTGTGTATGCGATTTGAGAAACACTGCGGATTCTGTTACGTACATGCTTTGGGAAATGCTACAATGGCAAAGCGCAGCCCATAGAATACGTCATCAGACTGAGGCTTACAAGACTAGGACCCAAGGTGTATCTCATTTTAGGCACCTTCCAGGGAAAACACTGGTGACAAAAGAAACCACTCCCTCGCCCCGCGCTCCTCTAGTGTCTTGTGGTGCCCGACAGGCCCATTGTCGAGGCCCACAAATCTCTGCAACTCCACCGTCTCTCAAGGAGCAGCTCACACTGTCAGACCTGAGCAGAGACTACGGAGGCGGCGAGATGGGCATCGCATGGCTAGCCTCGCGCTGAAGGCGGGAAAGCAGTTGGAAGAACTGATAGGGCAAAGTGGTTGCCCAATATGCCCACCCATGCCGCAGAATATGTCAGTCAGTTGGAATTACCCTTCTCAGGTCACTGTGATGGACGCTGATCATTAATCTAGCAGGACCCACAAGAGGTTGTTGATGGACACCCAGATGAACATCTTCGCACCCAGCCGCTGAGGGATGGTTAACCAACCACCAGGGTCCAGGCGCTGCCTCAAAGCTTTTGCAGAAGTCTTGGAGGTCCTTAAGGCCTGAGCAGGGCAAACGATCGTCTTGACCTCAAAAAGGTACGCCAGAAGCATAGCCTTGCGTAGCACAGCCTTGTCCATTGTCCATGTGCAAAAGGTCTCAAGATGTCTGTCAACCGTATGTCTCTGTTTCACCCTCTACAGCCTATCTTCACTGTAAACCCATCCCCGGGCTTTCAGGCCGGGCGGCGGCAATAGACTCTGACTCGGATACCCCAACGCCTGGCCTCTCTGCCGGAAGCGGCCATGGATCCGAGGTCCTGTGTTCGAAGGAGGGAACGAACGAAAACAAAAAAGAAGACATGGTAACCAAATCGTTATGTCACAAATAAGACATGTTACTATATACTCTATAAACATATCATTCAACGATTTGTCCTTGTGGGCGGGTGTACCTCTGGGGGACAAGCCTGTTCGTTGAGGAAAATTGCAACATCTCTACACATCTAAGGCTGCTAGGAGCAAAGGGCATCGCTACTAGGAGCAAGGACGCTACTAGGGGCTCCTGGCCTTACTGCTAGGAGCAAAGAAGCTACTAGAAGCACCAGAACTGTTCGCCTCACTCAATCCTGCACACCAATGCAGCACAGGGATCGTCCGAATGAACCGCCGGCCGAAACCAGAACAAACCACTACAGTCTACAGTAACTAACCTACAAATCTGGACAGTGTGGGTAGTCTTGTGAATGGATTGTCCCCACCTGGCAAATTCAAGGTGCTCCTCTCTGGCAAGGGCACACCCACCTCGTTGGTATATCGATTGATGATTTCTCAAGAAGTATTGGTGGCACCAGGCTGAAAGTAGAGTTACGTTATATATTTATGTTGTGTGCTGTTGAAAGACAACAATAGATTAAACCACATCATTTTTGGAAGGGCTCAAGCAAGATGAAGTGCACTCTATATTCGCCAGCGACTGCAAATAACATGAAATTAACTAGTGTGCTTCTTCTCATAGTCATACCCGACAACCCCAATGATGGAAAACATGGTGTTAGAATTCATCAAGGATAACAGCAACGGACCACCTGTGTTAGTTGAATACGATCATGAGTATATTTGTCGGCAATTGCAAACATTTCCAAACAAGGAAACCAAGGAGAATTTCTTCTGCCCTTGGATCCACAGTACCCAGATTCCAGTGTTTCGAAAAGCCCTGTGCCATGGATTTGCGATCTCTGGTTCCTAATGGATCCTGATTCGCTTGGGGTTCGTGACGATCACCATCCACCAGAGGCTCAATCTAGGGCTGCGGCGGCTGCCTCCACAGAGAGGTCCTTCAGCGGTAAGGCCTGGTGAAAGGATGCAGGCCGAACAAAATGAGACCTAGAATGTGACAAGAGATGACAATTGTGGTATCACTTGTTCTTCACCAAACCATAACTAGATCGAGTAGAAAACGTTGCAATCAGCCTCAAACGCACAAAACAACCATCAACGTCCGCCTGATTCAAATCATGTATACCAAGTTGGCATAGATCAAGGTAGGATTATGTGGGATTACAGTATCCCTAAAAAAGTCCCCACTCAGGATGGGGTCGCCATCCGACATACCTCAGTTTCGAGGAAACAATTGTGTCTTTCCATTCTATAGATTCTATGACTCTATTGCGCTTCTATCCAGTGAGTCAAAATCAAAATTCTCAAACCATCCCAGCACAAACGAAAATAACAAATAGAAAATCGATTGATTTTCACTCACATGGTGTTGAACCAAAGTCAGACTAATGACCCGAAGCATGTGAGGCTCATGTGCGTGATGACACTATATTGACAATAGACTTTGAGGTTCAGGTTAACACAACAAAACAAACTGATTTTGTGAGGCGTTCAGACATGTTCAGACGCAGACGCAGACTTCGTATGATGCCTCCTTCGGCGGAAAACTGATTCAACGTGCCTTCATGACTTCCTCCAAGTCTGCAGCTGCACAGGGCGAGACGGTCCGCGCGCCACGGAGACTCCTGCTGGCCTCGTCGGTGGACGTCTCCGCAACTAGTCAAAGCCAGAGTTGGGTAAAGCGAGAACACGGGAATGCTAGAGTCATGACATGGGATGACATGGACAAGTTCCACTATATAAACCACTTGACTGCCTTAGGAATATAGACCCGTATGGTGGTCATCTTACATCATATTATCCGCCGACCCCGCCGTTGCGAGGGGGAGCGCGCCAGGGATTACGGGTAGCTGTTTGGGGGCTTGGGGGTAGAGGGATCGAAAGTGCGACCATAAGAGGCTCGTTTTGGACCAGAATTAGATGGGGAAAAGCCGTGGCGGCGCCAGGTGTTCGGGGCCAGGATGGGCGCAAGAAAGGAAAGAACAGTCTTTTTTCTAATAGGGATTCAGAGGGGGCGTTAGGGAGCGAAAGTGCGACCATGAGAGGCTCGTTTTGGACCAGAATTAGATGGGGAAACGTCGTGGCGGCGGCAGGTGTTCGGGGCCAGGATGCGCGAGAAACATGGAAGAAAACGTCTTTTTTTCTAGGGATTCAGAGGCAGCGTTTGGGAGCGAAAGTGCAACCAGGGGAGGCTTGTTTTGGACCAGAATTAGATGGGGAAAAGCTGTGGCGGCACCAGGTGTTCGGGGCCAGGATGCGCGAGAAAAATGGAAGACAAGAAAACTTCATTTTTTCTCAGGGATTCAGAGGCAGCGTTTGGGAGCGAAAGTGTCCAGGGGAGGCTCGTTTTGGACCAGAATTAGCTGGGGAAAAGCTGTGGCGGCGCCACATGTTCGGGGCCAGGATGCGCGATAAAAATGGAAGAAAACGTCTTTTTTTCTAGGGACTCAGAGGCAGCGTTTGGGAGCGAAAGTGCAACCAGGGGAGGCTCGTTTTGGGCCAGAATTAGATGGGGAAAAGCTGTGGCGGCACCAGGTGTTCGGGGCCAGGATGCGCGAGAAAAATTGAAGAAAACTTTTTTTTTCTAGGGATTCAGAGGCAGCGTTTGGGAGCGAAAGTGCAACCAGGGGAGGCTCGTTTTGGACCAGAATTAGATGGGGAAAAGCTGTGGCGGCACCAGGTGTTCGGGGCCAGGATGCGCGAGAAAAATGGAAGAAAAGAAAACTTCTTTTTTTCTCAGGGATTCAGATGCAGCGTTTGGGAGCGAAAGTGTCCAGGGGAGGCTCGTTTTGGACCAGAATCCGCCGACCCCGGTCGAAGAAGGTGGAGCGCGCAAGGGAGTACGGTCACTTAGGGGTCAGACACATGCTGCAGGTATGAGAGAAGTCCGCCCCCTCAAACCCTCCCCGGCAGCGCCTCGGGAGGCTCGTAGCGATGCACTTGTTCCTAATAGCTTCTTGTTACTACTAGTAAGTGCAACTAGGGGAAGCTCGTTTTCGACCAGAATTAGATTGGGAAAAGCCGTGGCGGGGTCAGGTCTTCGGGGCCAAGATGAGCGAGACCAATGGAAAACGTGTTCGGGGCTAAGATTGGCGCAAGAAATGAGAGAACAGTTTTTTTTCTAGGGATTCAGAGGGAGCGTTTGGCGTGGAAAGTGCAACCAGAGGAGGCTTGTTTTGGAGCAGAATTAGATTGGGTAAAGCCGTGGTGGGGTCAGGTGTTCGGAGCCAAGATGAGAGAGACCAATGGAAACAAACTGGATGCGCGAGAAAAATGGAAGAAAACGGTTGGCGGCACGTGTTCGGGGCTAAGATTGGCGCAAGAAATGAAAGACCATTTTTTTTCTAGGGATTCAGAGGGAGCGTTTGGCATGGAAAGTGCAACCAGGGGAGGCTCGTTTTGGAGCAGAATTAGATTGGGTAAAGCCGTGGCGGG